ACAGAAAATGAGAAAAGGAATTAGAAACCGAATCCTAAACAAGAAACAAACGATAAACCTACACTTCTGCTCAAAAGATTAGGGAGGAGTGTGAATATATATTTATACACCCCTGGATACCCTAAATTTATTTATTTTTTATTTCAATATTTTCTCTTCTTAATCCGTATCTCAAAGCGACAAGCACGCCATGTTAGTCTGGCAGAAAGACACGATTTGACTGCATCAAATGAATATTGAACTGACTGGCTCCTTTACACTGCGCGCCTATGAGCAGCCATGATTATTTGTCATCTACTGTCATGTTTTCAACTCGATAGCGATCTCTTTTCCCACCAACCATCAAACCGGCTGTCGACTTCAAGCTATTTTAGATCCAACCAAATTTGATTTGGTTATTTTTATCGGCTGGCGAGACACATCTTCTAAGCTTGTTTAATCTACTTCTGTGTGACACGTTTGAAGTTCTTCGGGGCGTGTTATCTGAAAATGCCTAGCCTATCATGTATCAAAGTACATCATGGAATCATGAACAGCCTTATCGGAAGAGCTCAGCCAAGTGATCCATTTGGCTGGATAGTTTCTGCGCATGCTCAGATGCGATAAAGTCAAAATCAACAACTGCTCCGATATTTTTAAAAGCCTTTCGCACGAAAGATAGAGAATAAAACACGAAGAAGCGAGGTGATTTTGAAAATAACTATCGGAAATTAAATGGTGGTGTAAATCCTCTTAAGCGGCCATGTTTTCAATCAACAGTTATCATCAGGAAGATATCCGCCATGTTTTTTCTTCTTTTTTTGTTTGCCATTTTCAAATTTAAAAAAAATTCTCTTTGCGATACTTGCATCATTGTTCAAATTAATTGAAACGACCGCTTTAGTTTCCTATCTTTTACTTTTAGACGCACTTGAGTGATAGGGTGTAATCGATTTCTATTTTTTTTTTTTTTACTAGAATAGGTCATTTGTACTAGTGTGCAGTAATATGAATCTCTTATCGGGAGGTATGATTAAATTTGTTTGGCCTTGAAAAATATTGCGTCGTCCGTGATTGCATCAAATTTTTATCACGCCCAGACACTATTGTCCCGACTGTCGATTAGTTGTCCTACGGCCATTGTCTGCGATGGACGTTACTCAAAGGAAGCGTACGAACATTTGTAACGCTGCTCGGACAAGTTAAGAAAATAATGATCTAGGAAGCATCTTCCTGGGAGTCGTTTCACAAAGCAGTTGTTCCTGGAAGAAGCTGCTCAAGTGGATCATAAGTCACCAATCGAATATGAAAGAAGTGAGTGTGGTTCACTATAATTTGCCTGACATGGCGGATCTTGGCTGTGAAGGTAAGAAGTGATGGAACTAAGAGATAAAGCAGCAAGATGCTTGTGACCTTTCGCCTGCGAGAAAGGAGTTGTAGAGTCGAAAATAGGTCATCACCCAAAAGGACACGGGAAAGCTTCTGGACTCTATCATGAATCTATGGCCAATCTGCAAGGAACGACTTCGTGGACTGGACATAAAAAGTACTAAGATGTGCACTGGGTTCTGATTCATTGGAAAAATACGAAAAAAGTAAATAATAACGGAATTATTCGTTTTGTTTCAATTAATTTCCACAAGGGTGTAGGTGATCATGGTCCTCCACATCTTCCTCTATAATTAATTTGCACAAGGGTGTAAGTCCTATTTAAGATGAAAAAAAAAAAACAAATTTGCCTGTAAAATGATTTGAAGGTTTACATAGTGGAAATCGCACAGATGATTGCAGACTTGTCCCTAGTTTAGACGTGGACGATTGGAAATAAAGAGTCGTTTGTGCAGGAGGTGAAAGACTTGCCCAAGGCCTTAACATGAACTTTAGCAATTGACCTATAAATCCTCGCCTTAGCATTTATAACATGACCAGTGTCATCATGATCATTGTCATCAGACATAAACCTCCAATATGATCATGATCATCGTTCGCAGCTGTAAACCCTCCAATAGAATCATAATCATCATCAGCTATAAGTACTTTAATATAATCATGCCATGTCCTTCAATATGATCACGATAATTTTGATCAGCCATAGGTCCTCCAATATGATTATGAATATTGTCATCAACTATAAACCCTCCAATAGAATCATAATCATCATCAGCTATAAGTACTTTAATATAATCATGCCATGTCCTTCAATATGATCACGATAATTTTGATCAGCCATAGGTCCTCCAATATGATTATGAATATTGTCATCAACTATAAACCCTCCAATAGAATCATAATCATCATCAGCTATAAGTACTTTAATATAATCATGCCATGTCCTTCAATATGATCACGAAAATTTTGATCAGCCATAGGTCCTCCAATATGATTATGAATATTGTCATCAACTATAAACCCTCCAATAGAATCATAATCATCATCAGCTATAAACTTTAATATAATCATTTCCTTCAATATAATCACGATAATTTTGATCAGCCATAGGTCCTCTAATATGATTATGAATATTGTCATCAACTATAAACCCTCCAATAGAATCCTTCAATCATATAATCTTTAATATAATCATTTGATGAATATTGTCATCAACTATAAACCCTCCAATAGAATCATAATCATCATCAGCCAATAGGTCCTCTAATATGATTAATGAATAATTGTCATCAACTATAAACCCTCCAATAGAATCATAATCATCATCAGCTATAAGTACTTTAATATAATCATGCCATGTCCTTCAATATGATCACGATAATTTTGATCAGCCATAGGTCCTCCAATATGATTATGAATATTGTCATCAACTATAAACCCTCCAATAGAATCATAATCATCATCAGCTATAAGTACTTTAATATAATCATGCCATGTCCTTCAATATGATCACGATAATTTTGATCAGCCATAGGTCCTCCAATATGATTATGAATATTGTCATCCACTATAAACCCTCCAATAGAATCATCATCTATTAGTTCTCCAATAATGTCAAGATGGGTAAGAGTAAGGGACGTAGTTTATGTGGATATATAGGAAGGTTAACGGTTAACCTTAGACTTGAAGACTTTAAGATTATAATGGTCGTGAAAGCATCCTCTTGGGAGTCAGTTCCACAAAGCAGCGGTTTAAGGGCAAAAGCTGATCGAGTAGGATTTACATCCCACCAATAGAATATAATAAAAGTCTGTTCGCTAAAATGTGCGTGACGGGTGTTAGTCGTGAAAAGGGCGTCTTTAAAAAAAGCAGAATTTGCTGGGAATCAAATCTGCCAGGTGGGCTGGGGTGTGCGATGTTTTTCTATCATTACCCCAACCAATAACAAAAAAGAGCGGAAATTAACGGAAGTTAAACATAGGCCCTGAACAGATTAAGATTTTAATGATCTGGGAAGCATCCTCTTGGGAGTCGTTCCACAAAGTAGCGGTTCCAGAAAGAAGCTGCTGGAATGGAACTTACATCTCACCATTGGAATACAAACGGAATGAGGGTGGTTGGCTAAAATTTGACTGGTGCGGCGGGTCTGGGCCGTGAAGGTAAGAAAGGATGTAATTAACGGATGTTGTTCGTCTGAGCCCTTTTCATGGTAATAGCGATAAAACAGCGAGATGCTCGTGACCTTTCATCTGCGAGAAAGGGGTTGTATGGTGGAAAATCATTCACCACCCACAAGGACGCTTCTGGAATCTATCGAGATTAGAACGTCAAGACTGTTCATCTCCTGGCCATATATGGCAGCAATAACCCATTTTCGGTCTGATCTGGCATTTGTAAAAGTAGAGCATAATTGTGGCCAGGGACGTATTCGACCGGTAAAGAAAACCAGCCATTTTTTCCAGTATCTTTTAGCGGTGGGTCATATGTACGAGTTCCACTTGAGATCTGGGTGCTCGGGGCCTCGCTTAAGCGTGCTTTTCATTGAGAGCGGGTGAAAATGCTGGGTTCACTCGCTGATGGTGGAACGTGAGTAGTTTATTTTTCGTGGCACTCAATATCACCAGGCTAGTAGTTACCTCACTAGCTTAGGTCAGAGGAGAGGTCATCAGCCAAGCTCTGGTTATCTAGAGTTTTGGAAGTCCATCCATATACCGTTGTATGATCAGCATAGATATTCACAAATTAACGGAGTATACTCATAGGCAAATCCTTTGTGTAAAATAGTAAGAGAGTTGGACCGAGAAGCGAACCTGGCTGTTAGCAACTAGCTTCAGGGACCTACCCGTTAGGAAGGACTTTATAATCAAGAAGACCCTTCAGTGATCCCATACCTAAACAGCTTATGCAGTAACCCTTTATGCCACAACAAAAGCCTTTGATTTATCTAACGCGACCTCCCAGATGTATTTGTCTTGTGCCATACTGATTCTTGTCACTTTTTAGATTCATGATAGACTTCTCGGAACATTCCTCGCAATAGGCTGCCGTTAATTTCTGCGGTACGCTGGCTAACAACCAAGGTTTTATCTAGTCTGTGCTGCTATTTAACCCATAGATGGGGAAATATGTGGATCCATACCTTTCCCAAGGGTAATGCAACGAATTCGGTTGGAATTAGAACTCCGATTTTTAATTCCGAGTATTTATCCATTACACCACCCGGACACCCAATTGACAACAACTGGTATTCCCAAAAGATCACCCATCTAGATACTGACCAGTTTCGACATGGCTTAACTTCGGTGATCGAAGGCTATAAACTCTAAAATCATCATCTATAAACCATTCAAATTGATCATGATCATCGTCATCAGCTATAAACCATCCAATATGATCATGATCATCCCCGTCATTTATAAACCCTTCAATACGATCATCGTAACCATCATCAAGGTACAAGGTCTGAGAGCCATTCAAGATAGACGGTTACTGAGTAAATAGCAAAGTTTATGGATATATGTGTATAAGACAAGGGTTAACTGGAAACTTAAACAGAATAGGATTGTAGTGATCGAAAAAGCATCCTCATGGGAGTCGGTCATCAACTATAAACAATGTAATTTGAGTATGACCACTGTCATAAAGTCTCTAATATGATCATGAACATTGTCACCAGCTATAAACTCTTCAATATGATCATGATCAATGTCATCAGCTATAAACTCTTCAATATGATCATGATCATTGTCATCAGCTATAAAATCTTCAATATGATCATGATCATTGGCATCAGCTGTAAACACTTCAATATGATCATGATTATTGTCACCAGCTATAAAGTCTTCAATATTATCACGATCATTGCCGTCAGCTATAAACTCTTCAATATGATCATGATCAATGTCACCAGCTATAAACTTTTCAATATGATCATGATCAATGTCATCAGCTATAAACTCTTCAATATGATCATGATCATTGTCACGAGCTATAAAATCTTCAATATTATCACGATAATTGCCGCCAGCTATAAACTCTTCAATATGATCATGATCAATGTCACCAGCTATAAACATTTGAATATGATCATGATCATTGCCGTCAGCTATAAACTCTTCAATATGATCATGATCAATGTCATCAGCTATAAACTCTTCAATAAGATCATGATCATTGTCACCAGCTATAAAATATTAAATATGATCATGATCATTGTCATCAGCTGTAAACTCTTCAATATTATCACGATCATTGCCGTCAGCTATAAACTCTTCAATATGATCATGATCATTGTCATCAGCTATAAACTTTTCAATATGATCATGATCATTGTCACCAGCTATAAAGTTTTCAATATGATCATGATCATTGTCATCAGCTATAAACTCTTGATTATGATCAGGATCATTGGCATCAGCTGTAAACTCCTCAATATGATCATGATCATTGTCAACAGCTGTAAACTTTTCAACATGATCATGATCATTGTCACCAGCTATAAAGTTTTCAATATGATCATGATCATTTCAAGATAATCATCATTGCTATAAACTCTTCAATATGATATCAGGATCAACTGGCATCAGCTTGTCACCTGTACTCCTCAATATGATCATGATCATTGTCAACAATATGAAACTTTTCAACATGATCATGATCATTGTCATCAGCTATAAAGTCCTCAATATGATCATGATCATTGTCATCAGTTGTAAACTCTTCAATATGATCATGATCATTGTCATCAGCTATAAACTTTTCAATATGATCATGATCATTGTCATCAGCTATAAACACTTCAATATGATCATAATCATTGTCATCAGCTATAAACTCTTGATTATGATCATGATTATTGTCACCAGCTATAAACTCTTCAATATTATCACGATCATTGCCGTTAGCTATAAACTTTTCAATATGATCATGATCATTGTCATCAGCTATAAACACTTCAATATGATCAATGATCATTGTCAATCACCAGCTATAAATATTCAATAAACTCATTGTCATCATGAAACTCATGATTATTGGCATCAGCTGTAAACTCCTCAATATGATCATGATCATTGTCAACAGCTGTAAACTTTTCAATATGATCATGATCATTGTCACCAGCTATAAACTCCTCAATATGATCATGGTCATTGTCATCAGCTGTAAACTCTTCAATATGATCATGATTATTGTCATCAGCTATAAACTCTTAAACATGATCATGATCATTGTCATCAGCTATAAACTCTTCAATATGATCATGATCATTGTCATCAGCTATAAAGTCCTCAATATGATCATGATCATTGTCATCAGTTGTAAACTCTTCAATATGATCATGATCATTGTCATCAGCTATAAACTTTTCAATATGATCATGATCATTGTCATCAACATAAACTTTCAATATGTCATCATTGTCATCAAACACTTCAATATGATCATGATCATTGTCATCAGCTATAAACTCTTGATTATGATCATGATTATTGTCACCAGCTATAAACTCTTCAATATTATCACGATCATTGCCGTCAGCTAATAAACTCTTCAAAATGATCATGATCAATGTCATCAGCTATAAACTTTTTATGATCAATATGATCATGATCAATGTCATGAGCTATAAACTCTTCAATATGATCATGATCATTGTCACCACCTATAAAATCTTTAATATGATCATGATCATTGTCACCAGCTATAAAATCTTCAATATTATCACGATCATTGCCGTCAGCTATAAACACTTCAATATTATCACGATCATTGCCGTCAGCTATAAACACTTCAATATGATCATGATCAATGTCACCAGCTATAAACTTTTCAATATGATCATGATCATTGTCACCAGCTATAAACTTTTCAATATGATCATGATCATTGCCGTCAGCTATAAACACTTCAATATGATCATGATCATTGTCATCAGCTATAAACTCTTCAACATGATCATGATCATTGTCCTCAGCTATAAACTCTTCAATATGATCATGATCATTGTCATCAGCTATAAACACTTCAATATGATCATGATCATTGTCATCCGCTATAAACTCTACAATATGATCATGATCATTGCCATCAGCTATAAACTCTTGATTATGATCATGATTATTGTCATCAGCTATAAACTCTTCAACATGATCATGATCATTGTCCTCAGCTATAAACTCTTCAATATGATCATGATCATTGTCATCAGCTATAAAATCTTCAATATAATCACGATCATTGTCATCAGCTATAAACTTTTCAATATGATCATGGTCATTGTCATCAGCTATAAACTCTTCAATATGATCATAATCATTGTCACCAGCTATAAACTTTTCAATATGATCATGATCATTGTCATCAGCTATAAACACTTCGATATGATCATGATCATTGTCATCAGCTATAAACTCTTGATTATGATCATTGTCATTAAACACTGTCATCAGCTATAAACTCTTTAATATTATTATTGTCACCAGAAACTCTTCAATATTATCGTCATTGCTATAAAACTTTTCAATATGATCATGATCATTGTCATCAGCTATAAACTATTCAATATGATCATGATCATTGTCATCAGCTATAAAATCTTCAATATGATCATGATCATTAGCATATGCTGTAAACTCTTCAATATGATCATGATTATTGTCACCAGCTATAAACTCTTCAATATTATCACGATCATTGCCGTCAGCTATAAAATTTTCAATATGATCATGATAAATGTCATCAGCTATAAACTCTTCAATATGATCATGATCATTGTCACCACCTATAAAATCTTCAATATGATCATGATCATTGTCACCAGCTATAAACTCTTCAATATTATCACGATCATTGCCGTCAGCTATAAACAGTTCAATATGATCATGATCAATGTCACCAGCTATAAACTTTACAATATGTTCATGATCAATGTCATCAGCTATAAACTTTTCAATATGATCATGATCATTGTCACCAGCTATAAAATTTTCAATATGATCATGATCATTGCCGTCAGCTATAAACTCTTCAATATGATCATGATCAATGTCATCAGCTATAAACTCTTCAATATGATCATGATCATTGTCACCAGCTATAAAATCTTTAATATGATCATGATCATTGCCGTCAGCTATAAACACTTCAATATGATCATGATCATTGTCACCAGCTATAAACTCTTCAATATGATCATGATCATTGTCATCAGCTATAAACTCTTCAACATGATCATGATCATTGTCCTCAGCTATAAACACTTCAATATGATCATGATCATTGTCATCAGCTATAAACTCTTCAATATGATCACGATCATTGTCATCAGCTAGAAACTCTTCAATATGATCATGGTCATTGTCATCAGCTATAAACTCTACAATATGATCATGATCATTGTCATCAGCTATAAACACTCAATATGATCATGATCATTGTCATCCGCTATAAACTCTTCAATATGATCATGGTCATTGTCATCAGCTATAAACTCTACAATATGATCATGATCATTGCCATCAGCTATAAACTCTTCAATATGATCATGGTCATTGTCATCAGCTATAAACTCTTCAATATGATCATGGTCATTGTCATCAGCTATAAACTCTTCAATATGATCATGGTCATTGTCATCAGCTATAAACTCTTCAATATGATCATGATCATTGCCATCAGCTATAAACTCTTCAATATGATCATGGTCATTGACCTCAGCTATAAACTCTTCAATATGATCACGATCATTGCCGTCAGCTATAAACTCTTCAATATGATCATGGTCATTGTCATCAGCTATAAACTCTACAATATGATCATGATCATTGCAATCCGCTATAAACTCTTCAATATGATCATGATCATTGTCATCAGCTATAAACTCTTCAATATGATCATGGTCATTGTCATCAGCTATAAACTCTACAATATGATCATGATCATTGCCATCAGCTATAAACTCTTCAATATGATCATGGTCATTGTCATCAGCTATAGACACTTCAATATGATCATGGTCATTTTCATCAGCTATAAACTCTTCAATATGATCATGATCATTGTTATCAGCTATAAAGTCTTCAATATGATCATGATCATTGTCATCAGCTATAAACTCTACAATATGATCATGATCATTGCCACTAGCTGTAAACTCTCCAATATTATCACGATCATTGCCATCAGCTGTAAACTCCCCAATATTATCACGATCATTGCCGTCAGCTATAAACTCTTCAATATGATCATGATCATTGTCATCAGCTATAAACTCTTCAATATGATCATGATTATTGTCATCAGCTATAAACTCTTCAATATGATCATGATCATTGTCATCAGCTATAATCTCTTCAATAAGATCATGATCATTGTCATCAGCTATAAACTCAACATGATCATGATCATTGTCCTCAGCTATAAACTCTTCAATATGATCATGATCATTTTCATTAGCTATAAACCGTTTAATATGATCATGATAATTGTCATCAGCTAGAAACTCTTCAATATGATCATGATCATCCCCATTATTTATAAAACCTCCAATATGATCTTGATCATCGCCGTTTTTTATAAACCCTCCAATATCATCATGATCATAGCCATCAGCTATGAATTCTCCAATGAAATAATCCTCATCACCATCAGCTATGAACTGCATATGATTATGATCATAGTCATCAGCTTTAAACGAGTGGTTATAACATTAGTGTACAGACCAGACTTAAATCTCACTATGATCGATTTTTGAGTTGGGTGAATACTTTATAATAAATATCCCAACATTCCACTCAGTTTAAAAGTTTCTGAAAATTAGGAAAATAACTGAGTTGAAAATAATTCACTAAGATTGTACTAGACGATCTTAAGGAAGAAGAAGGAAAGAAAAAAAAAAAAAGAAAGAAAAAAGAAAGAAGAAAAAAAAAAGGGCAGTTGTATGATGCATGACCCAATTGAGGGTGGAGATAGGAGTCAGAAAGAGATTTAGGTCAGCGTCTTGGCCGATTTTCGAAAGACAATTGGAAGAATAGAATTATAAATAATAAGAAGAAAAAGAAAGGGAAAAAAAGACATGATATCAAAACGGGCCGCTTGATGGAAGCCAGATATCGGTCAAAGCACCTAGCCTACTTTTTTCACTGCATGGAAAGACACCTTATCAATTTGGATAAAGAACAATTTTGAACAATGAAACAATTTTAATCAGAGAAAAAGTGTCTTTGGGTTGAGGGGAGTTACCGGTGGAACGATATACAGATCCTGACCTGTTAAGAATTGGACACCCACGTTAATAAAGTAGAGACATTTTTCAATGTAGATAATTAAGATTTTCGACTATCAGGAAAAACAAAGAGGTAAAAAAGAGGGACAATTGCTTTTGGCTCACAGAGGGCGCCAAGAAGGCGGAAAAAGATCCTTTCTAAAGTCAAGACTAATTAGCAGCGGGCTGTTTGACAAAGTCCAGGTGAGAAAAAGCCAAAGATTGTCATTTTGCGTACGTGCAAAAAAAAAGGAAAAATTGGATTTTGTTTTTTTAAACAAGAACGATGTAACCACGCCCGCAAACAGAGGGAGAGGATGTTCGATCAATAACAATTGGTCGAATACGATCACGTGACCTGCGGAAGAAAAGGAAAGAAATGTTCGACCAATAACAATTGGTCGAATACGATCACGTGACCTGCGGAAGAAAAGGGAAAGAAATGCTCGATCAGGAACGATTGGTTGAAAAGCGGTCACCTGACATACGAGAGACTAAGAGAGATGGATGTGCGCCGCCCCACCAAAAGGTACTGCGAGGAAGTAGGGGCGAAAACAATAGCGATAATGGAAAGACAGAATTAATGCAGTTTTGGAATTATCGAGAAAACCCCTGACGCCGACAGACCCACCCCAGTTTGTTGCGGCGTCAATATAAAGCAGGACCCCAGTCGACAGAAATCAGTTGAGTTGGAGTTGCAGTTGGAGTTGAGAGTTGGACCGCGGGCAGGGATAGAGCCTGAACGCGGCCATCAGGCCATTCACGCCCCTTTGCGGGCAAAACAACCCTCAGACAAGAAGAACTTCCAGCCCAAGGATGAAGAAGAAGATTGCCTCAACAAGAAATCCAAGCCGAAAGCGACGAGAAGTTAGAGTTCATCCCCGGACAGAACCCTCAGACAAGAAGAACTTCCAGCCCAAGTAGATGAAGAAGAAGATTGCCTGAAAGCCTGAGAAGAATTGGAGCTGCAGACAAGCCGAAAGTCGATGAGAAGTTAAAGTTCAGCTCCGGACGGCAGTGAGAAGAGACCACCTCAGACGACAGAGAGTTGCGGCTAAGTTGAAACAAGAAATCTTCCACCAAGTTGAAACAGGAAAACTACCAGCCCAAGCAGACGAAGAAGAAGAAATACAACTCAAGTCGGAGAGAAGAATCAACTGCGAATGATCGATAGAAATTAGCCCCAGTGTCGAACTGAACCACACTCCGACATACATACATGATTCTAGAAAGTAGGTAATTCGACATTTTTCTATTGTGTGATAGAAGCTTGGTGCCATAGTCCACAGAGCGGGTCGGGAAATGAGAACACTTTTGTTTTTTATGTAACGGACTTTAAGATATAAAAGGTTGTTACCCTTTTTATCAGCAATTTTGTTTGGTGTCGTGAGTTTTTATTTTATTTGTGTTTTGCCACCCCGTCGGACTCAACTTGTATCGGCCCCGATCCTGCTGGTCCCGTCTGTCTAAGATCTAAACACAGCGTGGGTAGACAGACCGGAGATCGGTATAGTTGCTTTAGTGACCAGGTATTGGAAGCGAGTCGGGAAGGCGAGGCTGGTGATCATCTGACCAAAGGGTTGGAGCGGCACGCTTGGACCCAGGAGGAGCGACCAGGAGGAGCGACGTCACCGTTGGCGCCGTAACCAAAGGATCCGACACTGGGCCAGGTGTGTAACCGTCACAAGTGGTGCCGTGACCAACGGATCAACCCTGAGACAGCCACGTCACATATGGTGCCGTGGTGACCGAGGGATTTCAACCCTGAGAAGACCACGATCGACCGCCGTTGCTGAAAATTCAGACAGAACTCAGAACGACCCGGGACCAAAGGAAAAGAAAGAACAGAATCGTCTGTAAGGTAGGACACCTTGTTTTGTTTCCCAACCTCGATTGTTGCTGTATAGACTGTCTTTCTCTGTAGACATGTCAGATTATGAGTCAGATAGAGCAGTGGGGGGAAGAAGAAGAAGTAGGGCGGGGGTTGTCAGTGGATCTAAGGAAGCTGTTGGGTGGACCGAGGGTCCCAGTATTTGATGGCAGCAGGAAGGAGTTTAGGAACTGGCTGGCAATCCTCGAGAAGAGCCGAACCATCTACGAGCTCTCGGACCAAGAAACCCTGTACCTGGCATACGATGCCACAAAGGGAAAAAGCGTCTGAGTTCGTAAGGGGGGCTCTTGGAAAATCATCCCCTTGCTTGGCTTGGGAAGAAATAAAAAACTGCTGACCAAAGAGTTCGCCGACGAAGGTACGGCCATAGAGGCCATGAGGGCCCTTTTAAAACTGACACAGCTACGGGATGAAACCCCGGGAGAATTAGGGGCCCGAGCGGGGAAGCTATCGTCATTGGCATTCCCCGAAGTGGTCAGGGATAATGCGGTTATGCAGGCTCAACTGGCGGACCTGTATGTAGAGGCGCTGAGCGACGAGCGTGTTCGTCACGACGTATTGAAAGAAGGACCGCTCAGACTGTCGGCAGCGATAGAGCTGGCCAGGGAGAGCCAGGGGGTGTGGGATAAAGTGAAGAGGTGTGGGAAGAAGCAGATACCAAGTCAAGAGGCTGGAAGAAGGGGGGTAGGCGGAAGAGCCCCCGTGTGGAATCAGAGGGTTAAGGAAGAGGTGGATCGGGCAGAATTATGGGAGGAGGACCCCAATAGAAGGGCATGGTCGACCAGGCATGGCTTTTATAAGCCCACGCCGGGTCGATACGGGCTGGTCTGCTGGACCTGTGGGTACGAGGACCACAGGGCGGCGGAATGTCCGACGAAGTGGGGGTTGCCCCAGACTTCGATCGTGACAGATGCACCAGGTGTGGTAAGAAAGGACACCTGGCCAAGTGGTGCGGGCTGAGGAAGGGTGCCCCCACCAATATTAACAAAAAGAAGGCCGAGCCCAAGAAAAAAAGCCAGCAGGCCACCCCAGAATTAAGAGGGAGGGTGGCCCAGTTAAAAAGGAGAGAAATAAAAACTTGGACCAGTGGGTGGGCGAACCGCTTGAATAGAGGACAGGTTCCCCGAGGATAGACACAAAGCCAACCCCAGTTAAAAAGGAAAGAGCAAAATGTTGGACATGTGGTCGGGCGGGCCACTTTGCGGCAAGCTGTCCAGCAAGAAGGTGCTGGTTTTGCAGGAGGCCAGGACACCTGAAAAGAAACTGTATTCTTAGAAACGGCCATGGGAGACCGGGAGAGGTCCGGCCAGGGTCGCCCAGGTGCAGGGGCGCAGAACTCCACCTCATAAAAAAAAAATGAGGTGATTTATTACTACCGGCGCCTATGGCTGGGTTAACCCAAAGGTGGGGACCCAGGAAGAAGAAAGCTCAGGTGTTCTCTTCGCTAACGCAAGAGAGAGAACTATCCTGTAGAGCAGAGATAGGTGGTAGAGAGATGAGGGCTTTGGTGGACACAGGAGCATCTGTGTCATTGATGAGAGAGGAGACATACAGGCGGGTGAAACGGAAGAGAAGGTTACAGGGAAGCGGACATAGAGATCACGCAAGCAGATGGGGCCCCCCTGGAGATAAAAGGGATGGTGAGGCTCCCGGTGAGGATTGGGAGGGTGAAAAGCACCCAAAATTTTTACGTAACCCCCGACCTGTGTACAGAGGCAATCTTGGGAGAAGATTGGCTCCGGAGCCAAAGGCCCAGATCGAGTTTAATCCTACTGTGTTGGTGGTGAACGGCGAGAGAACGCCATTGGGATGCCCACCAGAGGAAGAGATAACCATAGTGGTGGAGGAAGATGTAAAGTTACCTCCTAGGACCGCAGTGTCAGGAAAGGGTAGGCTAATGTCAGAAAAAAGGTACGGAGAGGACCTCTGCAGTTGGTCCCTGTAGAAGGAAAGGGCCTAGAAGATAACGAGGTAACCCTGTGCGAAACGGTAGTGGAGGCAGCCGAGTTGGTGCCCATAATGATGGTGAACCAGGCCCAAAAGACTATAAAAGGTTAGGAGAGGGAGAAGATAGGAGAGCACTTCCCCTACGAACTCTGAATCGGGTGAGATTCGAGGAGGAACGAAGGAAGCTAGTAGAGCAAACAAAAGGAATCTTAGATGAGGATATATTAGCACCGGATCAATTTAGAACCAGAGTGGGGGTCTGTTAAGGAACAATCGAGATGTGGTAGCCCAGTCAGATAAGGAACTAGGTCAGACCCACACAGTCGAAATGAAAATCGACACCGGAGACCACCCCCTGTGAAATTAAAACCCTACCGAACACCTATACATAAAAAGACCCCTGTAGAAGAGGCAGTAGAGGAAATGTTGGAAGCTGGGATGATCGAAAGATCGATCTCTCCTTGGAGCTTCCCAATAGTAATAGTAGGTAAGAAAGATGGCGGCCACCGTTTCTGTGTAGATTTTAGAAAGCTGAATTCTATATCGAAGCCGTTGGCGGTGC